AATGTAGTATATTGTTATAGATCATATCAAAGTACAAGAAACATAAAATTGACCCAATCATAATATATCAGTGAAGAAAAAAATAATTTAGAAATCAATTTAAAAAAAAAAAAAAGATCCACAAATTATAACTTAAGAGAAAACTATCAGTATCAAAAAAGGATCACATAAATCATTTTATGGATTAGAAAGCTGAAGTTCAGGAAAAGTGAAGTAATTTGGCTAAGGTCATGTCACTCAGCTAGTTTAAGTGTTGCAGCCTGGACGTGAACTCCCTAGATAACTCTACAACATTTTGTTTTTCTGTCTTTTTCTGATAGAAATGAAAATCCAAAAGTGATTTTTAAAATTATATAAAATAAGCCGGGTGTGGTGGCTCATGACTGTAATTCCAACACTTTGGGAGGCTAAGGTCACTGCTTGCCTGGTGCTGATTTCTCTGAGTTCAGAGGAGTGAGCCTGTAGACCTGGGAACCGGGTATCTGAGGACGAAGCACCCAGTAATAGGTGCTGGCGTCTCAAGAAGGCACATTGAGAGTGGTTCTACAAGTGTTGGAAAACCTCCAAATTGCAATCAGCTGCTACTACTAGCAGGCACTATTGCTGTCAGAGTGAAGAATTGTTGCTAGAGTGAGACTTAACAGAATTAAGAAACCCATCTGAAGGAAACAGCAAATTCCTTCTTCCTTCTCTACTTGTGAAGTATCACGCTGGTCCCTGTATTGGCAGAGCCTAACAGGGAGACACAAATGCTTGCAGAATTCCAAAGAGTCGGTTTGAAGCCAAGAGACAGTAGCTTACTGTCATGGCCTTAATTGTAGTACGACTGGAAGATAATAGAAATAATACTTTTGGTATGTATAATTGGGTGCATGTAGACATTTTCTGGGATACTAACTACTGGGTAGACATTTGGTGTTATTGTAAAAAAAAAAACAAAAAAACATTTTATTAAAACTATTTGTTTCTCCTGATGAAATTAATAAGAGCCACTTAGGGTGTCTGTATAATGAACAGGAAACTATGCAAGGGCCTGCTCTGAAGTCTGCTTAGCTGAGCTTAAGACAAAGATCACAGCAGTAGTGGCTGAGGGTTGCTCTATAGTAACAGCAAACATGCTTTGGTCAGCTGAGGCTCGGTTTCTTAAAGTCTTAGAGTCAAAGAAACCGTCTAAAAAAGAATCTTACCAGGACAGAGCAATCAGGCCTTGCCTCATAAAACAGGACAGTGGCAGAAAAGGGTGTTCTGAAATCATGGTCACTCACAAGAGAAATACAAACATGGTTCTTCACTTAAGCAGCCATTTTTGTGCAATTCCAGGATCAAAAAGAACATTCCCATTGTATTAAGTTAACAGGTACTTATAGAATAATTATCACAAGTATGCCCAGCACTTTGGGAGATGAAGAACTAAGGTTCTTAAAGACCTTTACATATTTCTCATGTTATGTTCATGTTGTGTCTTTTTTTTTTTTTAAGGATGTTGAAGATTCACAGAACCACACTGGTGAGCCTGTTGGAGATGACTACAAGAAAATGGGAACACTTTTTGGTGAACTGAACAAAAACCTTATCAACATGGGCTTCACAAGGATGTATTTTGGAGAACGAATTGTGGAACCAGTAATAGTCATTTTCTTTTGGGTTATGCTGTGGTTCCTTGGCCTGCAAGCCCTTGGACTAGTTTCTGTTCTTTGCCTTGTTATTATTTATGTGCAACAGTAAAACATGGCTGAATGGAATTGTTTGACATTTGGTAGCCATATATGTAATTGAAGAAGTTATATGTTTCATTTTTTGACAACCGAAAAAGTTTGCCTTGTTTCAAATTGTGTGCTGGATGTTTT